ATGTGAATCATGGAAAAAGATCTCAAAGATGAAAAACAAAAATTTAGTTAGCAAACGCAGAATTTTGTATTCAAAAATTGTGAATCACTCTCTTTCCAAAATTTCCAATTAAAAATAATTATTGAGAGATATGAAAAATGTCAAATTGGATTGGAAGGTGTTATTAGCCAACAAAGATATTCCAATGATAAAAATGGACTTGGATATTCAAAGTTTTCAAAACCAAGTTCTAATAAAACTATCTTTGTTAAGGCTAGTGATCAATCATCCAAAGAGAAAGTGAACAAACCTAAAGTGGTTCATCGTTATCCTAAAAATAAAACATTTCCTAAGAAGAAATCTTATCCTCGTAGATATAGAAGTAATTTTGTTCCTACATGTTTGTATTATGGTATAAGTGGTCATACACCTAATGCTTACTACGTTAGAAATATTAGTGTGACAAGTGGGCACTATGTGTGGGTTAAGAAGGGAACTAACTATGATGGACCCAAAGCACATTGAGTATCAAATCAAACTTAATTTGTTTTGTAGCTTTGCCTGAGGACCACTTTAAATCTATGATGTTTTGATAAGTGGTGGCTCTAAGCATTTGATGGAAGACATACACTAACTTTCAAATCTAGTTCAAGTCCAAGGATTATTTCACATATGGGGAATACCTTAAAGGAAGAATTCTTGGCATTGGCAAAGTTCATACACTAATTTTCATATCCATTGAAGATGTACTTTATGTTGAAGAACAAAAGACAACTTTGTTGAAAAGGCTTCAAATTCATCAAGGATGAATGGTTTATGAAGTCACTCTTGAGGTAAAACTCATAGGTAAATTTTTTTTTTATGTTTATAATTTAATTATATATTTTAAGTCTTTCCCCATTCCTTTTTGCTAAAGACAATGGGGGAGAAGGTTTAGTACATGTATGTATGTATATTTTTATGCATCTTTCCATTCTTTTTGATAATATCAAAGGGGAAGAAGGATGTTACACTTTATACTTGTGTATTTCCTTGTCTTAAACTTTTAAGGTACAAAGAATCCTTCAAGAGGAGAAAATCCAAATGATTTCAAATCTTCTCATACAAAAGGGGGAGTTATACATCTTAGGGGGAGAAGTCTCTTTCCGAAAATAACAAAGTTTCAAGAAAGATTGTTTGTCATCATCAAAAAGGGGAAGAATGTAATATCAAGCTTCTCAAATGATTCTCAATGCACTTTGTTTTAATGAAGACAAACTATATTGGCAAAAGGAAAAGATGTTGATCAAGCTAAAAGCATCAATGGATAAAAGTCTTTGGTTCAAGCACTTAGCAAATTTCAAGGTATAATGATAATACTTAATTTGGACTTAAGACATAGATGCTCAATGGTAAAAAGAAATATTTTATCTTGTCCAAACTTTTCCTCAAGTTTTCTAAGCAAAAAATCATTTTTTACTTATGTGCAATTGATTTGGATACTGATGCGATCGATTACATGCTTCACGTTTTCAAAATGTTAGTTATTGTTTCTAAGTACAATCGATTTACATGTTTGTGCAATTGATTGCTCTCTATCAAATTTTGCTACTGTTTTAAAGTGAAATCGATTTACACACATGTGCAATCGATTGCTCACTGGAAATATTTGATTTTTTTAGCTGTTAAAATCTGTGCAATCGATTTACACAAGGGTGCAATCGATTGCATGCTGGACGTTTTTGAAAATCAACAACTTTGAACATACCTTTTCATAACACCATTTCATGGAAACTTTTCATTGAATCTTGGAAATTGTTCATGATTCATTTACAGAAATTTATGTTGTTTCAAAGAGGTGCTATGAACATATAAATACTGAATTTTCAAAATCATTTTGAACCTCTTCCAATCAATAGTTTCTGAATTTTAAAATATAAAAACTCAAGCTTTTTCTTCACTTTCATACACAAAGTTTTTCTACACATTTTCATATATTGTTAAACAAAAAACTTTGAGCATTCTACGGTCTTGAGTCATTGTATATTATTGTTATTGAAAGAGAAGATCAAGTCATTGATGAAATCACTCAAAGTGATTATTGCACTACAAACTCTATCAATCAAATATTGTTATACACTTTCTTATTTTTTAGGATTGTTGAAAATAGGTTCAAGTGGTTTTGTAATCTTGTTTTTCCAGGATTTTTGAATACAAGTAGGGTCACCTTGAGAGGATTGTTCTCATTGTTGACATAGTGAAAATCCAAGAGGATTGTTCTTGGTCTAAGAGGATTGTTCTTGGTGGTTTTATTGGTTAGAGTCTTGTATAGAAGAACTAGGGTGTCTTGTCTAGAGATCTAACAATAAGGTAATCTCTTTCATGTTGAAAGGGGACTGGAGTACTCTCGGACTATGAAGGGAACCAAGATACATCTTTGTGTTCTTTACTTTTCCGCATTTACCGCTTTCATCACTAGTCATAAACCAGAAAAGAAAGAAACATATTTGTAAACTCATGCACTAAACCAGAAAAATAATATCCATCATCACTAAAACCAAAAAAATATTAAAGTACCTAATTCACCCCCTCTTAGGCACACTCTTATACTTTCAAGGTAAACATCGAGAAAACCTGAGAAGGGAGAACTCACGGCCTTGCAACCGAGAGATCGGGTAAGAGAGTCTATTACGCGAGGGGAAGGTATTAACACCCCACACGCCCGTGATAATCTACGGTATCCACTCTTGTTATCTATCTTATGGGTGTGTTTAAACTATGCTTACTGTTTATTACTAAGGAAGAATGCATGCAAAAGAAGGGAGAAAATAATGTAGGGAAAATAAAGTTGTACTCGCTTGGGCCCTACCCCAATACCTACGTATCCTTTTTGAGGAATCAGAGCTACCGTAGTTCGACTCACATGTTTTTGTTTTTTTTTGTTTTTTTTATGGACAATTTTAATTCTGCCTTCTTTCGCAACTCAACCTTTGGAGACTTACGTGTTGGCACAGAAGTAAATTAATCATTCCCTTACATGAAAAGGGTTTTAGAGAAAAGGTGCTTGGGCGCACAAAAAGGTTTGAGTTGGTTTGTATTTTGTTACCTTGAAAAAGGGTTTAAGTGAGATTAGCATGTTTTTGATTTGCTAAGAAAAGGTTTTAGTTTTAGATTCATATGCAAAAGGGGAAGAAAAGAGTCTAAGGGAGACTAGCCTATTTTAAACCTAATGTTATCATACAATGGTAGTCCTAAGATTTGGATTAACAAAAGGAAAACGTTTACCTAATGTTAGCATGCATGGATTGCAACCTAAGGTCTAACTTGAATCTGAAGTGAACAAGCGCATCCTAAGGGAACATGGTATGTACAAGGATAAAGCAAGCAAGCTCGAAAGATCACACACACAAAAGAGTAAGGAAAAGAATCGAAATGCTTTAGCCAAGGGGAGCGTATCACCCGAGACAAACAAGCGGGAGTGAGATGAAGAAACAAAAAGTGATGTCCAAAGAGACTGAACACCTAACCAAGATATAAGAGATCAAGGTAGGCGACAAAAGACAATATGAACAATCATAGAGTATCAGTATCGGCCAATGCGAACTCCTGACAAAGCGTGGGGGTTCGATTGCGGAACCCTTCCCCACTTGAAGACTCGATAACAAGAGTAGGCACAACTTCGAAGCTTCGTGGTACGTCACGAGCTAAGGATGACAACGACGAAGTTGAGGGGGTTGATTGCTAACCCTCCCCGCTCGCCTCCTTTTGAGGACTTCAATAAGGGATGGGAGAATAATGCGGGCACAAATATAAACACACCTGCAGAATACCTACTAAAAGGTAGGGTTTTAAACAAACCACACACAAGTAGAAAACAAAATGCACACAATGCGGAATTGCCCTAAACGAGTCTTTAAATAAATCAGAGAGGTTGTTGACATGATCAGTAACGGAGACCCCCATCATACATCTCTATTCCTACTTCTCATGGCATCAGAAAGCAATAAAATCCTACTTCTCATGATATCTAGAAAAGCGGTAAAGAAATTTAGTAAAGTGAGAAGAAGTACGAAGGTAGTAGCAACGACTACCACAAGCAAGCAAATCTTTAAGAGCAGACGAAAGCAATGGAGAAGCAGGGAGTACACGTCGAGCAAGCTTCACTAAGAAATAAACAAATTTAGGAATGATATTCAACTAAGATAAAAGCAAACGCGTGTTGCGTATGCAATGCGTAATCAGAAGTTCTTGCGTAAAATATCACAAAGTATCGTATGTATCAGGACAACATATAATATGATATGAATTTTTCAAGACAATGAGAAATAAGGTGTATCGCATCGGGAGCAAGCATAAGCCGTATGCCCTGATCGTATAACAACTTGTTATATTACACGATCGAAAGCACCAAAATGTACCTTGCACAATAAACAAACGCATCAAAAATAACAATGTATTGTTCATGGATCAGATCCTATCGTTAAACCACTCATCATGCCAAGAAAGTTGAATCAAGGATACGGAATCGACCATAACGTTACAAAAACTTCCCTTAACCACAATTCAACATTTAATCATATTAAATCTTATACTAATAAAAAAAAATCATGGAACAATATATCTAAATCAAAGGCTAACACATTATCATCCATACAAAATTTTAGCCAAAAGTTATACAAGAAAATTCATGAAATTGAATTGCCAAATCCAAGAACACAAAAATGAAATCTAATACTAAGCATGGAAATACAAGGACCAGGAGGGAGGGGGAAATATTAGGCCCGACACATTAATCCCAATCCAAACATCCTTAGCCAGATTTTTATTTCAGCATTATCTATCATCTTATCCCTTTTTCTTACCTAATAAAAAATAATAAATTAAAGGTTAAGAGGATAGTGAAACGATACAGCTTTGGAAGGCTTAGGGTTAAAATTGATGTGATGATTCAGATTCAACGCCTTCTTCTCAAACAGCTGTGATCGTCCTCTCACCATTTCTCCGCCATCGCCTCAGCGGCTACTATGAACACACAACCGTGAATGGCTTCTCACCTCCGCTTATTCGCCTTTGTTCCAAACGCGATTCTCCTCCTCTATCGCTTCTTCTCTTATCTGCAGAGGCCTTTCATTGCTACTTTTCCGACTAATTCTCACAACACTGTCGTGTTCAATACGATTGTCGCCTCGCTCTCTTCTCTTCGGTGATTTCCGCTCTCAAACGCGTTGCATTTTCGTCTCAATGGCTCATTATATAAACTTCACTATGATATCAATTTATCCTCTTCACGGATCTAAAGCCGAATTCGTCATAGATTCGAGCCAACGGTGCAAATAACGAAGAAGAAGGAATCACTTACATGCCAGAGACACTCTGGTGGCTTCTTCGTTCGTGTCGAGATCGAGTGGAAAACCGGAATATTCTCCAGGTAACTATTCTTGTGCTCTTCTCATTTCTACTACCAATTTCTCTTCTACCGATTCTTCTTCATTTTCTGCCTTTCGGAATTTATGTTATCGAGCATTTAGTTGAGAAGTGAAGAGTTAATGATGATGATTTCATTTTTGCAGAGATCTTGATTGTTGTTGCAGATGAAGATTTTTGATGTGATGAAGAGAGGTGATAAATGTTATTGATGCAGATCAAAATTGCAATGCCGATATCTTGCAACTTCTGCGAAGATTCACATATGATGATGATGATGATGGATATCATGAATGATGAAGGTGATTGAAGATAAGGAGAAAAACTTTTCTGAATTTTCTGGTGAGTTTCTCTGGCTTTTTTCCAAGGTTTTTGAATAATAGTATGAAGAATGTGTGAGAATTTTTTGTGAAGCTTTTTCTGTAGTTCTGAATAATGATAAGCGTCTTCTCTTAAAAAAAATGAATCCCCTTCCTCCCTTTCTGTTATTCCAATCTGTTATCCCTTTCTCTTTTTTCTGTTACATTCTATTTGGAAAACTGTTGGAGGTTAGTTAGAAATTTTGAAAGTTAGTTAGGGAAGAGGTTGGAAGAGTTTTGATTCGGTTTTTGATAGTTAGAAATTGGTTGGGGTTAGAAAAGGTGGTTAAGGATTGGGAAAAAGTTAAAAGATGTTAGAAAATTTTGTTATGGGCTTTTTGTTAGCTTGGTAGTTCTTTTTCTGGTTCTGTAAACTGTTTTTTTAGACAGAATTTCCTTGATTGCAGGGCTGTTTTTTCTGATTTTTACAACTAATTGATGGATTGTTAGTGTATATGATACATATTGCTACGAATGGCTTGCAAATGGCTTGATTTATGTTTGTGGTTTATTTGACTGTGTGCAGGGGTTGTTTATAACAAGGTGAGGTGCAGACAAGTTTTGGTTCATGAAGAAAGCCTAAAGCTTGGAGGATGGTGAAGCTCAGATTGGAATGCTAAGATCATTAGGAATAGTTTTAATATTTTGTAATTTTATTTTCATTTGAAACATTTCCTTGATGTAACTTTTAATGTAAAGATCCCATGGAACGTATGCTATATATAAAGGCCATGATGCATTGTACTTGAAATGATTTTCCCTTGTAGTGATTTTTGGTACTGTGAACTTTTTGTAAACCCTTGAATTGCTTTATAAATTCCACATTCCTTTGATCCTGTATAGTATATAAATGGCCGCCGACTTGAGCGGTAATGATCTTCGGGCTTGAAATTGCAATGAGTTAGTTTTGTAGTAGCTTGGCACTCTTGAATAAAAGGAGTATATTGGTCATGAATGATATTTGAATTTTTAACTTGTAACTTAAATTCAAGAGATTAACCATGAATGGATCTTTCAACTTTCCTTGAATTAATTCCTGACATCATGACCAAAACATATGCTTGAGATCTTTGATACCTTAAGGAATCCATGGACTAATACTTTGGATCACACTGCTTGGTATCTCTTGTAAATATTACATTCATCACGCATATAAACCCTTAAATCAATATTCCACGAGAAGATGAACCCAATACACGCCATGCTTGATGGGTGAACCTTATCCTCAATTGAATTAACTTTTTATTGAAGCAACAAGTAGTTGAAAGAATAATGACGCCTTGAACACCAAAAATCATCAAGCTCCATATTTTGCACCGTGATTCACATCTTGACTCAATGACCAATGATCTCAACACAAAATTAATGCCCTTTTAATAAATCTTGTTGGGAGCGCCTGCACCCTGTAATTTGATTAGAAAGGAGTCCACAGTGAACGACCATATCAAAGCCCTGCCTCCATAATCAACACTTTATAAGAGAACCTAATGATTCGAGCTTATTTGATTCGTACACCTCAAACCAGGAAAAAACCCTAATTCTGTCCAGGAATAATGATCTCATGCTAAATTTATTGATGAATGATGCATGAGGTGTTAGCTGACCTAATGAAGGTTGCATACATGAGAAAAATGTGGGATGCATAAGCCAGATAAAATTAAATGGGTATGTACCGACTTCATCTTCTTCTACACACTTAATCCATGAACATTCACCTTATGTTTCCCAAATGTGTTTATGTTTTAGTTTATCATTCGAACGTGTTTGTCATGTTGTTGATTATTAAACAAAAACAACAAGATTATCTTAGTGAAACAAACCACAAGATTTTCAGTCATTTGTTGCTGCTCATTTTTTACGGTTGATTTTACTTTTTTTTGTTTGATCATTATACATTTGGTTTGTATAGGTAATTGATGCTAGGGTTGCGATAGGAGGAAGCAAGGTTGTGGTTTTGAGATATGGAATTATGGTTTAGCAAAGCATGAAAGCAGTAGAAATGCTTAGAGCAGTAGGAGTTAATGTGACAGTTTCCGATGCTAGGGTTTGTGACTGTTTCTTTTGGTTTTTGTTATCGTTTTCGTTATCGTTTTCGTATTCGTTATCTGGATCCGTTTTAGGGTTTGGGGAAAGTGTTTATTTTGTTTTACTTATGGTTTTGGTAGTGAATGTTTCGTCAATGATAATAGCGACAGTAAATGACACTCAATGAGTTTGATAACCAAACAAGCTGAAAGGGGATTGTGCCGTGGTATTTAGGATTTTGAAAATGCAAGGTCAATAATTTTGACTCTTACCCTTTTATTTTCTGTTTGTGAGTGCTATTGTTACTTCAATTAGGTCTGAAAAAAGTGATTTTTTTTTAGAATTCCCAAGATGGATTTTTTTGTTGAAACAAGTTTTGAAGACTTTGTGTGGTAGAAATCAGTGGTCTTATGTTGTTTTCTAGAAGATTGGTTGCAACAATTCTAAGTAAGTTTGAAGAGTGATTCATGCTAACTTTTCAGTATTAATCATTACAATGTTTTGTTTCTGAGATGTTCTTCTAATTGAGGGTAATTAGCTTTTGATTGAATGTTAATGATTATACATGCATGTTTTGATTCAAATTGAATATGACGAAATCACAATAGCACTACTTTAATATTCACATTAATTATATATCTGGGATTGATTTGTTACTAGATATGATTAGTCACTTCTTCCTTGGATTTGATTTGTATTTGTACTGTGCTAAATATTCGTTTATACTTTGGAATTTTGTATTTTGAAAGCTTTTGTTTTGTCTTCAAGAATTTTATATTTGTTTATTCAAAAGAATTATATGTGATTCTGTAAAGGAGCAAGAGGATGCTCCAGTCCAGCAACACATCTTCTCAAGTGATTCAGTCTCATGTTTTACTTGGCTCTCTTTTTTATAGTAGAAATTTTAAACAGGACTTGGAGGATGCTCCTGAAGTGCGTTGCTCCAGAGATAGAAATAGGGCTTCCAGGAAAGCTATAGTCTGGGTATGGGAAATACCTTTTGCAATCATTATCATAACTTTATGACATTGAGGTATGGTGTAAAATTTTAATCACATTGAAAAACTTTGTTGGAACTGATTACTTTAGTGTCTTGAATTGGGATAAATGTCTAGGTTTAATAATTAGGAATTATACAAATATTCAGTTTGCGATGTATTCTGAGACAAATTATTTTCGTCATACACTACTTTTATTACTTGTCTCTCTGAACTGGTATGTTTCCTATATATGTTTTTGTAGTATTTAACACCATTTGTGGAGAAAGGAAACTACGAGCTTTCAAAAAAGTGCATACTTCACCCTGAGAATAATATGTTTAGGGAGCAAGAAGAGCATACAATTTACTTAGACAAAAATGAATGGCGCAGTGGATATTGCAAGCAAAGCTTTCACGAAGAAAAATTTATTGATCAACATTTTGATAAAAGGCACTACAATCTTCTGGATCTGGTATGTTATTTTTCATTTGAGTATCTCTTATTTTATTTTGGCTAGAATGCTTAATATTACTTCACATGTATTACTATTTTCCATGTCAACTCTGGATATGATGATGCCTGTTAATTTTCATTTATGTTGTAACAGAATGTGGTTCTATACTCTTAGGATTTCAATAATCGCATCTTTTTTTGTTATCATTCTGTTTCTATTAACTTAAACCTGAATAGGTCGATATTCAAAATATAGACCATGGTTGTCAGGATCTAGCTCTAACTCCCAAAATCTTACGATCTTACGCTCTGGAAACTGGCCACCAATTTAAGTGGCACAAAGATCTTCGATTTGGATGGAGCATTGAACTCCTAGAGAAAGATCTTAAAATTGTGGGATCTTGAGATCCCAACAATCCATTTTTTGTTTTTACCCGCTTTAGACCTGTTTCGACCAGGTCATTAAACAATTGGAATCATCCCATAAACTGACCCATAATTAACCCTGACTGTTTGTGACTGTTGTGCACACATATTTTAAGGTTTTGGGACTTGAAATGTTTTAAATGAACTTCTATTATATTTTTTTAGATAAAATATTTGCTATTGATGATTAAATTAATGTGAATTTTACGTTGAAGTAGTTATTTCTATAATTTTTTTCTATTTGTTGGGATCTTACGATCTGTATTACGATCCTACAATTTACGCTTTTCCTATATTATAACGATCTTTATTGAGATCTCAATTTTGACAACCATAATAGACAACCAAAAATACATGAAGTTATCTAATTTTCCATAGTTCACTATGTTTCCTGACTCTTTCGATGGTTTAGAGAAGTATGACTGGAAGGGTTCACAGCCACTGCAAGAAATCGTCCCCTATGTGAGGTTGCTTTCATTTTTTTCAATTTACTTTTATGTTCATTGTAGATAAAATTTTGAACTTAATCCATGTTTTTGTGTATGTGTGTATAAATATATATGAAATTACATTTTTCCCTTCAGTAGGATCTTAGATGTCGTGCTAATGATCCGAGTTTTACGATCTTTCACAAGCTGACCAATCCTACTTAAGATCTTGTGCTTCTATACATTATGCGGTGCCACAGTTCTGAATGCATACCAGTAATATATTTTTCAATCATGATACATTGCCTTTTTAGGATCAAGGAAGTTTCTATCGCTTGGCTGTTGGAGCATTGGTCTTGGTGCTACTTCCTGTGTTCTGTCTCTTTATTTATTTTATAAAAAGGTATCATTTAAATTTTTTCAAATTCTCTTAACCACTCAAGATTTTTCACCAGTATTTCATAATTTATATGGGAAAGTTGCAATGATATGAAGGGTGG